CCCCAGTGAGGGGCTGGGGTGTGACTCAGTGGTAGAGCACCTGTCTAGAATCCCCCAGTGAGGGGCTGGGGTGTGGCTCAGTGGTAGAGCACCTGCCTAGAGTCCCTTAGTGAGGGGCTGGGGTGTGGCTCAGTGGTAGAGCACTTGCCTAGAATCCCCCAGTGAGGTTGGGGTGTGGCTCAGTGGTAGAGCACCTGCCTGGAATCCCCCAGTGAGGGACTAGGAGCTTGGCTCTGTGGTAGAGTGCTTGTCTAGTATTCACAGGCCTTGGGTTCCATCTCCAGCATCCCAAAGCAACAAGAACCACAAATGACCCCTGGTGTTTGGAACCAGTGGAGAGGGATGGAAAAGCAGCAGAGCATCAGATGTTTCGGGCAGGTATGCTGAGTGGTGTGGTCCTACAATGGTCATATTTGTTTCATCTGTTGGTGCAAACCCACAGAATTAGGAATCCAGAGTGAAACGAAATGTAAACTATGTCCTGATGGGACAAGGACGGGCTGATACAGACCCTCTCTGGAGAGAGATTTTATAACAGGCGGTTTGCCCACTGGGGTAGGGGTCGAGGGGAACTCTAATAGGACATGAGCCCAGAACTGCTAAACATTAGAGCCAGGTGTGGTGGTCACACCTGCAGTCCTAACACCCGGGAGGCTGAGGCCCGAGGACTGAAAGTTTCAGGCTGGCCTATGTTATGTAACTAGATTCTGTCTCAATCGATTCTCCCCAAAATACTCTAACAAGTCAGGTGATGGCGCTCTCACTTTTAATCCCAGCACTTGGGAGGCAGAGGCAGGCGGATCTCAGTGAGTTCAAGGCCAGCCTGGTCTACAGAGTGAGTTCCAGAACAGCCAGGACTACACAGAGAAACCCTGGCTCAAAAAACCAAAAGAAAGAGAGAATTTGAAACGGCTCCTCCTAACAGGAGCCTGCAAGAACCCAGAGGAGGGGCAGAACATTCAAATATCTCTCTGGGTTCTCCAGAGGATGCACCCGAGAGTCCCTCCCACCAGCCTGACCCACTTCAGATTCTTCAGGTATGGCCAAGGACGAGAGGCATGATCAGAGAAAGAGCACCGGTGGCCTGACCCCAGGGAACAGCCCCCAGAGCCACCAGGTCCTCTAGTAGACCCTGCTCTACTGCTCACTGGACAGGCTGTGCTAGTTAGACCTGCTGACCTCCCCTGTGTACATGTGTGCACCATGAATTTGTATGTGTGTACACATGTTCATATGTGCGTGCACATGCTGGAGAACAGTGCATCATGTAGAGGGCAGAGGTAGACTTTGGGTGTTTTCCTTGTTTGTTTTTTTTTCTTCTTGTGACAGGGTCTCTCACTGAACCTGGGGCTCATCAATTCAGCAGGAATGGCTGCACACTGAGCCCCAGGGAGCCACTGGGGCGACAGGCATTTTTTAGTGCGTGCAGGGCCTTAGGTCCCTATCTCTGCACAGTAAGCACTGACTGAGCCATCTCCCTAGCTCATCGTCTGGTGCTGGTCCCTGTCCCCACGCAGCCTGTGGCTCGGCACAGGCTCCACCTGGAACTGACCCTGGGCCCCTGGCTCATGTCTCCTTAGTTACCTTCCCCGTTCCTTTGGTGCACAGCACAGGCTGGCCTAGCACAAAGCATCATGGGATGTTGCTGATGGCGGCCTTAGCCAGAGGTGGGGGAAGTGAGACTCACTTGGATGGAGCTGGACATCACTGAGAGCTGCAGCAGCAGGCGGTCCAATGTGCCCTCGCCCAGTTCCCGGAGGAACAGTCGGTACTGCTGCTCCAGAGGTTCCGGGGCTGAAATGCCGTTGTCTGAGGAAGCCAAGAGAGCAGCCATCAGAACAGGTACAGCACACCACCTCAGGCCAGGTGAAAACCACTCCCATGTGCCAAGAAGGGCAACACCCTTCCTGGAGTGTTTGAAGTGGAGGAACTTCCTGGACGGAGTTTTCTTCTCCAGTACACTGTCTTTTATAGTCCCACCCATTTTAACTTAATATTTTTGAGACTGGATCTCATGTTGCCTAGGCTGGCCTTGCACTCACTATGTAGCTGAGGATAACCTTGAACCTCTGACCATCCTGCCTGTACCTGCTGAGTGCTGGGATTACAGGTGTGAGCCACCATGCTTGGTTTATACAGTGCTGGGAATTGGACCCAGAGCCCCACGAATGCTAGGCAAGCATTCCACCAACTAGGTGGCAGCCCTTGCTCGGTTTGGAGTTTTATGATGAGTTTTGTGTATGTGGTAATGGAGATGGAGTTCGGGGTCTTTGGTGGGCAGGGGGTGGCTGAGTCTCACTGTGCAGCCCTGGCTGGCTCAGAACTCACTATATAGACCAGGGTGGACTTGAACTTACAGAGATCTACGGGACTCTGCCTCCCGAGTGCTGGGATTAAAAGTGTGCACCATTGCACTTGGTAAGTCCTGTGTGTCAAACATGCTAAGCAAACACTCTACCATTGAGCTACTCCCCAGCTGAAGTTTAAAATTATTTTTCTGGCTAGGCAGTAGTGGTGCACACCTTTAACCCCAGCATTTGGGAGGCAAAGGCAGGCGGATCTGAGTTCGAGGCCAGCCTGGTCTAAAGAGTGAGTTCAAGGACAGCCAGGGCTACACAGAGAAACCCTGTCTTGAAAACAAACAAATAAACACATCCTTTTCTGTTGTGCTGACATGTTCCTTTCAATCAAAAACTAACAGTATTGGGCTGGACATGTAGCTCAGTGATAGTGTGCTTGCCTGGCATCTCCAGAATTGCCAAAACAGGAAAGGGGAGGAAAGAGAGAGAGAAAAGACTGATAACGGTCCCAAAGTATAAATAAAAGTTTAACTGAAAGTTAAAGGCCAACTCCTGGTACATATTCCCCAAAGAACTAAAAGAAGTATAACGTGGAAAACTGAACATGGGCCGGGCAGTGATGGCGCACGCCTTTAATCCCAGCACTCGAGAGGCAGAGCCAGGCGGATCTCTGTAAGTTTAAGGCCAGCCTGGTCTACAGAGTGAGTTCCAGGAAAGGCACAAAGCTATGCAGAGAAACCCTGTCTCAAAAAACAAACAACAACAACAACAACAAACTGAACATGGCTGGGCGGTAGTGGCACCTGGGAGAGAGAGGCAGGTGGATCACTGAGTTTGAGGCCAGCCTGGTCTACAGAGTGAGTTCTAGGGAAGCCAGGGCTACACAGAGAAACCCTGTCTCTATAAATTAAAAAAAGAAATAGAGAAAGAGAGAAAGAAAAGAAAGCTGAACACGAATGTTCTCCGAAGTGTTGTTCATAATAGCCATAAATGGGACACCACCCACAGATGAGCTTCTAGACATGGGCTCCATGTGGTGGACATGACTCAGCTACGAAAAGAACGACATTATGGTGTCTGCTACAACATGAATGAGTCCAAGGAATGTTATGCTAAGTGAAAGAAATCAGACACCAAAGACCATACAGCATATGACTGAATTCACAGGAAATATCCCAAACAGGAAAACCACGGAGCCAGGAAAATGATCGGAGTCCCCACTCTTGAGAGAGACCTGCGGCAGGAGGATTATGTATTAGTGGGCAGCCTGAGTTACACAATGAGATCCAGTCTTGGAGAGAAAGAAAGAGCTGGAAAGATGGTTGTGGGGCAATGTGCTTGCTGCTCAAGCACAAGCACCTGAGTTGGGTCCATAGTATCCACATAAAGGAGTACGACATGGTGGTGTGTGACTTTAACTCCAGCAATGGGCAGGCAGACAGGAAGACCCCTGGGGCTTGTTGGCCAGCTAAGCTCGCCTACTCAGTGAGCTCCAGGTTCAGTATGAGACTGTGACTCAAAAACCAAGGTGGTACCTGGATGTTGGCCTCTGATCTCCACACATGCACCCATATGTACATGTGCACACACACAAACACACACACACATATACATACCATGTAAAAGAAATCAAATAGTTTTAAAAAATGAAGACAAGGCTGGGCATGGTGGTGCACACCTTTAATCCTGGCACTCAGGAGAAAATCAGGCAGTTCTCTGTGACTTTCAAGCCAGTCTGGTCTACACAGCAAGCCCCAGGCCAGCCAGGGCTACACGTGAGACTCTATCTCAAAATAAATAAACAAAAAAGCTGGGGCTGGACACTAGGGTAGCTAAGGTAGGAGAATTATGAGTTTGAAGTCAGCCCAAATTAAGCAATGTAACCCTGGGGAAGAAGAAACAAGAGATGAAGGAAAAAGGGGGCAGTGGGGAGCGTGGAAGGGATGGAGCGGGTACAGGGAGCCAGCCACAGTAAGCAGGATGGTGGCAGGGTAGTGTCTGTGCTACACTCTTGGGCACTGTCCTGTGTTTTCAGACAAAGCATTTGTTTATCTGTGGTGCTGGGAATCAAACTGAGGGCTTTCGGCTGTTTAGGTAAGCATCTACCAATGAGCTATGTTCCCGAGCCCTTCCATCTTGTGTGTGTGTGTGTGTGTGTGTGTGTGTGTGTGTGTGTGTGTGTGTGTGTGTGTGTGCATGCCTGCAGGTATGTAGAGGTCAGAGGACAACCTCAGGTGTCATTCTTTGGGCACCGTCCACCTTTTGTTAAGGACAAGGTCTCCCATTAGCCTGGAACTTTGCCAAGTAGGCTAAGCCAGCCGGCCAGCCAGCTCCAGGGACGCACCTGTCCCCATTTCCCATCTGGCCATCAGTGGATTACAAGCATGTGCCACCACACTTGTATCGTAAACACCTTACTGACTGAGCCGTCTCCCCGGCCCTCGTCCTGTGGGTTCTCTTTCTAGAACGTGCTATCAGTTGATCTCACACACCGAGCTGGCCTCACCCTTCATCAGCTGCCGCTGGCCCTGGATGACCTGCTCGCACAGCATCCGGTGCTGGTGATAGCGCTGGATCACGAAGTCCTTCTGGCCCAGCAGGTTCTTGCGGCACAGGTTGTCCGCCTGCAGCTCTGTGTTCTCCACCTCCAGCTCGTGGGCCCTGCACAGCAGCTGCAGCACCTCCCGCTGCTCCTCCCTGGTCACCTGCCTGGGCAGCAGCTTCTCCATCTGTGAGGCCTTCTGCTTGGCATGGGCCAGGCGCTGCTCTAGTCCAGCCTGTGGGAGACAGACAGCTCAGGGCCAGCACTGACGCCAGTTAGAGACACGTGGCCATCAGCCCTACCCATGAGCCACCGTGAGAGCTAATACTGATGAGGTCCGTTTGACGGGACCTAGAACTACCTAGAAGACACATGTGAACGATGATGTGAACCAGGCAGCCTCTGGCCATGCCAACGAGGGATTATGTTGATTAGGGTACTCAGGTGGAAAACCCACCTTAGACATAGGACACACCATTCCCTGGACTGGGGTCCTGGACTGAACAAGAAGGAGCAAGCGAGCTGAGCACCAGTATCCGTCTCTCCGCTTTCTGACTGTGGATGCCACATAAGCAGCTGCCTCACGCTCCTACCGCCATGCCTTCCCGCCATGATGGGCTGTGCCCTTGAAGTGTGACCTAAGTGTGTAGGAATTCTGTAGTCTCAGAGCCATATAATGCAGGAGATTTGGGGATGGCGAGACGGCTCAGCGGTTAAGAGCACATACTGCTCTTGCAGAGGATGTAAATTCTGTACCCATTACCCATACCGGGTGACTTACAACTACCTGAAACACTAACTCTAGGGTACCCGATGCCCTCTTCTGGTCTCCTTAGACACCTGCCCTCATGTGCATATACCGTCACACACATATAAAAAATAAATATTTTCTAAAGAAAACTATGGGAGCTTGCTAGGCAGGGTGCTGGCAACTGCAGAAAATGTGGCCATTCTAGCAGCACACTGCCCGCTGAGGAACCTTACTAAACTCATTCCATTCCTCAAGCAAAACTTGGGTAACTCTTTCTCCTCTTCCTCCTCCTCTCCCTTCCCCTTCTTTTTTGCCAAAGTCACATAACATAGCCCAGGCTGGCCTCAAACTCACTATGTAGCTGAGGATGACCTTGAACTCCTGATTCTCCCACCTCCAGAGTGCCAGGATTACAGGTGTGCACCTAGGAGTCCGGTTTCTGCAGTGCTGGGGTGGAACCTGGGGCTCTGTGCAGACGAGGCAAGAGCTCTACCAACTAACTGAGCCACATTCCCAGCCCTTGAGCGAGTCACGGGGGTGGGGGGGGGCAACTGTTCACTTCATATCTCCCCAGATGCCAGCTTATCTACCCGCCCCATCTGCTCCTTCCTGCAGAAACCACAGTGGGGCTCTTGGACACCTTCCCTGGCCACTTCTCTTATCTCCTGAACCTCCCCAGCCCTTCTGCATGGGGCCATGTGTGCTGTGGAATGGCAGACCCCTCCTCCTGGCAAACTGCCTTTTCAGGACCAGGAAGCAACGCCACCCACCTCACGCTGGGACATGCCGCCAGGGTTTCCCATATCACAAAGCTGATTCTCTTCATCAGCATGCAAGGGGACACAGGGAGAGCTCAGGCCCAGCTTGTCTACTGCAGGCCTGCTGAACTGCTCACCCTGTAGAAAATGAGCTGGAAGCCCTTGAGACCCACCGATAGCCTGTAGCCCAGTTCTGCACACCCACCAGGCAAGGCTCCAGCTTTCTGTCCATAGCTGTGGATATACACTTGTTTCCGTGTGTGTCTGTACACACGAGTGTGTGTGTGTGTGTGTGTGCGCGTGTGTGTGTGCATGCGTGCGTGCGTGTGTGTGTGTGTGTGTGTGTGTGTGTGTGTGTATGTACACTTGATGGAGATGCTGACCACTCCTATAAACCACCTGACCAGCAACGTGTATCCCTTCATGCTCCGGTGACTCAGCAAAGAAACTACCACACCACTCAGCTGACTCCACATGGCCCCCAGAGAGTCACGTGGGGCTCAGGCTGCCTTGCATGCCCAGAGTCTTGGTCCCCAAGGGACGGGTAGATAACAGCTGTGGAAGATGTGTTCTGCCACCTTCCTTCTGATCTGGGATTGATTTCACTGCCTTCCTCCCAACCCCTTCCCAAGCAGGCTCCCCTCTGTCATCCTCACTCCATCCAGAGGCCTCTGAAGCCCTCCTGAGTTGCCCCAAGTCCTTAGCTAAAAAACCAGCCCCACTTCTGCACACTCACACCTGTCCCGGTGACTGTTGCTGTGCTGATAAGTCACACCAGTGTCTCTTCCCCTCAGACCTTAGCTCAGGGCACAGGACTCCTAGTTTTCCTTAAAGCCCCGGGGGCCCGGCCTCAAGCTAGACACTTAAAACCTTGCTTTTTGCTTATTTGTTCTTTTATTGATTGACAG